GACCTACTATTCCAATACAATTCCATTCCTTGGATTACTTTCTAGCCTGAGGGGCATTTATTACAGCCTTCTAGTGAAAAAGAACATTACTGGTTAGATCCCAGCTCTGTAAACTTTTAACATATCCAAACCATATGTTCTTAAAAAATAGTAATAATGGCAATAATCTATACTAGTATGAGCGGTGGATGTGCTGCTACGGATGAATAAAAAGGTTTCAGTGGTCCAATCCAACTCTTAACAGAGTCATAAAGGTTTGAAACATTAAACTGGAACAATAGATTATTAGATGACTCTTGAATTAGAAAGTGAATTGGGACTGAAATCTTGGTACTAGGGAAAGCCTCTCAGTAGAGCAACGATTTCCACCTCTTATCTCTAGATTTGTCTTTAGCACTGATGGCATTTAGAAAATAACTGCAGACCTCTTTGGTATATGATGCCAGATGTATCCTGCAGAGCATGGTAGCTCATCTGTCATCCACAGTGGCCCAAACGTCTATCTAATCCAAACGTACTAATGCCAGTGTCTTGCTACTGGTGATGTAGACACGTGACAGGTCCTTCTAGCTTAATGGAAAAGACTAGTAAATAACACAACCCCCTCTTGAGAATGCTAGGATTTCAAGTGCTATGATATAGCATCGATGTATTTATCTGATTATACTGTATGTATTCCAGATGCTCTAACATCTAAATACTTGTATTATATACAGAAGCAATTAATTATAAGTATGCAGAGATGGAAAGATGCAAATAAAACCACTTCCGTGTTGCTTTGCCACAGGTCAGTTGGGTTTATGTCCATAACTACATCCGTTGTTCTGGCTTCTGAAATTTGCTCCAAGTCAGATTTATGTTTTTTAAGACAGTAAATTGCAAATTATCATGCAATACAGCCAATGTTATAGCTGTAAGCATGAAAGAGGTGGCTTCCAAGTGTTCACACTAATTTAAAAGTTATCCCATTTACTCATTAAAGTCAGAGGGCAGCATCAGCCACAAAATTTCAGACCACAAAACGCTCCATTTTTATGATGATGATGGAGGACAACAAAAGGGAGTCCCTGGCCACGCTGCCAGTAAGTTCTGGGACAAAATGCCATTATTCACAGGTGGGGGCTGCATGGTGTTGGATGACTCCAGACCCTGTTCAGTGGTTACAGGCAGAAAAACAAACAAAACCCACCACTCACAAAACCAAACGCTTTTCAGAAAAGAAACTTTGTGGTGGAGAGCAGCTCTCCACTGACACCCTGGAGAAGAAAAGGAAGGAAGAAAGGGCTGAGATAGGGAACTAAAAGTGTAGTGGCCAGAGCATGCAAGGACTGGGAAGACAAAGATGCTGGAGCAAGTGCTACAGTACCAAAAAGATAAGCTATCAGTGCATGTACCCATTCTCCTAGATATTCAAATGGTAAAAAACAAACCAAAACAAAACCAAAAACCCAACAAAAACAAAACACCCCAAAAAACCCCAACTAAATCTCTCTGCTTCACCAACAATATATACTCTCCTGTGACTTGTTTCCGGTAACAATTTTACATCTAAAATTTTTATGGCATTATACTCTTCACTCTGCTTCAGTGGTCTCCTTCGGTTCCACCAAATTCCCCTGCCAGGCACACAACGATGCACATCCCAAGCATCATTCACATACTCAGCTCTCAGCTGCAGCCTACAGCTCAACAATCTAGTGAACAAAACACCTAAAATCATGCTCTAACAGACAGGAGATTTGGAGAAAGAAAACAAAGACAAGGACAGGCTCTTTAAGTTTCATCAAAACAACATAGTTTATCCCTCAGCACAACTGACAATTGTGCCGATAAGCTTAAAAAAAAAAATAAATTGGCATTTGCTTCCTCATCCCTCCAGTTCAAGCATGAAAATACAACTGCTGATAGAAAAAGGAGAGTAAATATTCCTCAATATTGAGTGGTCCAGCCAAATAAACACATTGCTAATTATCCTTAGGTGATGAGGTTAAGAGTCTGGTCCACTTCTGGTATAACCCATCAACTTGAAAATCCAATTACCATTTTACAGGAAAACGTGCCACCACT